GAAGACAACAGCATATCTTAGAAATGTAAGACTAAGTAATTTATATACGTCCTACTCTTTCACTGAATATGTATATTTTGTATACCTGTATTGACAGGCTCTATCTGCTTTGGTGTGATATCGTCAGGTAACGTCGATTTTACTTGTTTGTTAGAAGATGAAGATGATATCCGATTTTCTAGTTTTAAAAGTAATCAGAAATTTAATACATGTGATTATTATATGCGATACAATTAACGTCAAACTGTTTTAAATTCGAGCAACGGGACGCTAATATACAGTAGTTATAGCAAATTGCATAATAGATTGATAAATTAAGAATTAAATATACTTGATAACTGCAACAGTTACTATTAATGAATATAAATAAAATACATTTAGAAAAAATATCATCATGTAAATAACATCTGCCAGAGTATTTTTATGACGCTTATATTGTTACTTTTCACTTGTCGAACTTGGCTATCTGTTGTATGAGTGGAACTTGCAGCTCTTTCTAGATTGACATAAAGTAGGATATATATTAAAATACTTTTATTTAAAAGAGGATCTTTGAGAATAGTCTAATGATGCTTTAAATATTACTTTTAGAAGCTTTAGTTCGACTACTAGTTGCTTGATTTCGACTTGTTAAATTATCTAAATTGGTAAAATAAATAATTAGTAATAATCAATTAACAGCATTCTTGACATTATAATAGAGTACGCAACATTTTTGGAATGCTTTAGCGAAAGCTTATTATAACGCTTTTGTAAATTTATATATTGGCTGTCGATTGCTTGGCTTTGGCTAGCTATACTTTCTGAACTGGTGACAGTTTAATAATATTTTATAACTAGGATTATTGATCTTTCATTTAATGCGAATAAGGAGAACATTCTGTAATATTCTCATCGCCAACAATTAATGACGGTGAAAAAATATATTACAAACTTTATTTTGTAATACCATAAACAACAAGAATTATACATTAATCAACAATATTTGTTAAAAACAAGTTTTTGTTACCGCGTTCGTTCCTCGAGGCGTTAGCTTCTATCTCTAATTTTCTACCAAGATCTTGAATATGTGTAACTTGGCTATCCTTTAGTATGCAGCAAAACTGAAAATAGTTGTCATCGCTTCTTGATTTTAGTATTTTAATAAAATGAAAGATTCTTTCTTTATTACTCTGGCAACCATCTTTAAGTTTGTCAACTTCGTCATCAGATATTAACCCTATACTTCGTAAATCGAATACAATATCCACTAAAGGGACATCACTCAAGATCTGCGGATATTCCTTATCGATGATATCGGTGATGTATTTGCTCAAAACCATTGTATGAAATACTTTTGTCAACTCTGCTTGGAAAATTATTTGAGAAGAAATGTGACATTAGATCAATATTACTTTAAAATACAGTACAGCGCTGCAAAAGAACAGGTAAAGGCAAAAAAGGTTTAATCCTAGCTAAGACGATGCTAGTTTGCAATGAGATCAAAGTTCAGATTTTTGGCTTCGTTTGTATGCTTGATTTTGTAAAAACTATCAAATAGGTAAAGATCAGGTCAAAAGATGAACTAATGAATCACTAATGTTATGTGGAAATATCCAAGATCAAATTAAAGATAAAATGGGAGCAGCTTATTTACCGGATATGAATTAACGAACATATATATATTTACGAACATGTCTAAGAACTACAGTGAAACTAAACACACTGCAGTTACGTTAAGGTTAAACAATCGTTTTGGAGCGTAAAGTTTTAATAACATTTATTGGCACTGCTAAAATCAGACAAGATTTACTCTATCACAAAATATATGGTACAAAAACTGAAGGCTTTCACAGATTCAATGCAATGACATTACAATTAGCTCCAAAATTCAGTTTATGACAAGAAGGGTATGAATAATTAATGGATGGATGGCTATCTTATAAAAGTCTAACATAGACTGACAGAGTATATAAAAAATGACGGAAGTATGGACAATCATCGATCAGTATGCACGCTGTAATAATAGTGTCTCAAAATAACTGTCTTAGTTAAATGGTATTTTCCAAAAGGCTTTTATTACAAAGGTTTTAGGAATAGTAGAGCGATAATTGATTACTACAAGAATCTACTCTAAAATCTAAGGTATTCCCAGCTCAAAGCGAAGTAAAGTCTCTTCTCTTTCTGAGCTCATCACTGCAGTTCTTAAATAGAATTCGCTTAATCCATTAATGACGACTTAATTCATCTGCAATCAGACTTGAGCATCAAACAGAATACATTTTCTCATATAGAACATTACTATCTTCTACAATCTAAATCATTCTACCCTACTCAAGATATCACTACTCTTCTATCAATGTCCAGCACCTTTCGGTGTTGGCCATCTTCACAATTACAGCGTTTCTAGTCACGTAAATCTTGTACCATAATTAGTCATCAACAATTTCTAACATAGTAGTTATCAATCATCTAATATTAGCTTCACGATAATATCTATTCTTAGTAACCTAACTATATTAAATATAGCTATCCTTATAATTAAATATGGGGTGCATCACTACTACCATAAAAAGTTATTTTCCTGGGTAATATTGTATAGAAGTACCTGTTGATTCTTAACAGGCCAATCAATCGACCTAATTCAGAGATTTGTATTATAGTTCTTGATGTTTAAACTAGCGAGAAAATTGTGAAATGGAATACAAAAAAAGAATATCAAGGCAAGAATCTTTGTCTTAAAGGCGGATGAGTTTGAAAGAGTGAAACGCGAAAATTCGCTGTATCTTCTCGTCCGTTATATCATCATTAATATACGGTACCTATTGACCTGGTACTGCTTGAATAATTAATTTATAGGTTGCCACGCTCATATAAAAGTGAAGAATTTTAATTGGTTAATTGAATTTTCGTCATTACTATGCAAATAAAATTGTATAGTATCAAATCAAACGGATAAACAAGACTGTACACCAAGATCTAATAGAGTGATTTGCTTGAATTTTTATATCATCATTAGTATCCCTACTGACATAGTATTGCTTGCATAATTATAGTTTACTCGTATAATTGTCACGCTAAGATATAAAGCTAAAGAATTTTGAATCAGTTGATTGAGTTTCGCCATGAGTAGGTAAATAAAATTCTATAGCATGAAATCAAACGGATAGACAAAACTGTACGCCAAGTATGGCAAATAATATTTTTATAACTCAATGGTTGGTTTGATCGGTGTGGGTTCAATAAAATCCGTTAAAGTTCATATTCTTTACTGCTACGTGAGTTACTCTATAGACTACACGTATATGAACAACTGCATCAACTTTATGAATCATAACGTCCAGCTTGTTAGTGCTTGATGATTTCTAAACAGAGTTTGATGAGAAAGTGTAACACTTTAATATACACTGCCGCATTGACTTCTTGATGTTCAAGCTTGTGATGTTTGTGATTTTATTCTTAGAAAGTTCATTTGTTAATAATACTTATGATCATTGGTAATTTACTTTTTGCATGGGAGTTTTCAATGCATGTTTTAAAAAGTCATAATACTCTATTCTGTGATGGACGGATTTACTTTTGTTGCCTTTGGTCATAGCTGTTATTTGTTAATTTCTTGATAAATCAAAAGCAACATCGCTGCATTGAACACTTAATATCAAGCAATACTACAATTCAAACAAACAGAGCTATAATTTGTGGTACAGTCCTATGCATATGCTACACTAATACAGTGCACCCATATAAATAATGCTTAGTTACAGAGTGTGATAGCGTTAATGTAACTGAATTAAAAATAATTTAAAATAACTATCATGAATAGAACTAGCTGCCACTTGTTGCGACAACACTAAAACACTCTACACGCTTCCTATTTTGAAGGTGTTCATCTCTGATTTTATTTCAATCTCACCTATTTATACTTATTTTACTATTGCGATCATTACTGCCCTTCTTATTTGCATAATTATAGTGCAGTCTCATAACAGTCAGGCAACGTACAGCTATATTCAAATATTAAGCTTTGCCCAGATTACGAATTGGTGCTTACGACAAACAACAACGAATAGTTAGCTGAGCACAATAATATAAGTATCCTAGCGTACCCCTATCGTTAGATTGTAACTCAATCCGTGTATGCTGACATTCTAGCTACTATGACTATTAACAGTTAATATACATATCAAAAAGGAACAAAATCAATCAAACATCTTAAGAAGAACATAACCTCGAAAGGCAATCAGCATTGTGTTAAATAAAGCTCATTTAGAATAAAAATTGATATTAAAATCGGACAGCAACACCACTGCAAATAATTAATTGGTGTATATATAACATGCAGTTTTATAAATTACACTACAGTAGTAGTAGTGTAAAGGCAAGGCTTCAGTAGGAACAATCTCATTTCAATATTTCTCAGTACTACAAAAATAAGGAGGCTACCCTATATCATTGCATTTACTTCTGGTGACTAACAGAATAGTGTCACCATATAATAATTTTCTTTCCAATATAGATCGTTTTAGATCTGGACTATTTTTAAATATAAATAACCATTTATAATATATTGCTTACTGGTGTGTGATGACTTTAAAGAAGAGAATCAAATTTTATCTTTTCACTTAAATCATAATATTGACACTAAGACTGCTTAGCTTTGGAGAATGTAGCAGACCTACGAAAGACGAAGACTATTCCTCTCCAGATTAACTTAAGAATTATAATCGTGACAATTATCATCATACATAAAATTGCAAAAATATCGAATAAGTAAAATTGATACCATGGCAAGTTATATTCTTCCGATCGCAAATAGTGTCCCCCTTTACTATTCAAGGCAAATTTAATCCAATCAGCAGCTTCTTCGACCGGTGTTCTTCCATTAAGACGATTTTTAATTAATTTTGAGACTGTAGATGCATTTCCAAGTATCCATTGATCAGTAGTGGCATTCATAATACCAAAATACAAGTCATCGCTATTGATTTCATTAATATCCAAAATTACTCCATTATCCTATA